CTTCTAATGTTAATCTAGAACCTGCTACCATTGATCTAGAACCTTCTAACATTTATCTAGAACCTTCTACTGTTAATCTAGAACCTGCTACCATCAATCTAGAACCTGCTACCATCAATCTAGAACCTGCTAACGTTAATCTGGAACCTGCAACCATCAATCTAGAGCCTGCTAATGTTTATCTAGAACTTACTACCATTAGTCTCGGACCTGCTAACGTTAATCTAGAACCTTCTACTGTTAAATCTAGAACCTTCTAACATTAATCTAGAACCTGCTGATGTTAATGTAGAACCTGCTTAAGTTAATCTAGAACCTTCTAACGTTAATCTAGAACCTGCTACCATAATCTAGAACCTGCTACCATAATCTAGAACCTGCTACCATTGATCTAGAACCTTCTAACGTTTACCTAAAACCTTCTACTGTTAATCTAGAACCTGCTACCATCAATCTAGAACCTGCTACCATTGATCTAGAACCTTCTAATGTTTATCTAAAACCTTCTACTGTTAATCTAGAACCTGCTACCGTCAATCTAGAACCTGCTACCGTCAATCTAGAACCTGCTAACGTTAATCTGGAACCTGCAACCATCAATCTAGAGCCTGCTGACGTTTATCTAGAACCTGCTACTGTTAGTCTAGGACCTGCTAACATTAATCTAGAACCTGCTACTGTTAAATCTAGAACCTTCTAACATTAATCTAGAACCTGCTGATGTTAATGTAGAACCTGCCAAGGTTAATCTAGAACCTGCTAAAGTTAATCTAGAACCTGTTTACATTAATCTAGAACCTGCTGACATTAATATAGAACCCGCTAAGGTTAATCTAGAACCTGCCAAGGTTAATCTAGAACCTGCTTAGGTTAATCTAGAACCTGCTAAGGTTAATGTAGAACCTGTTAATTTTAATGTAGAACCTGCTAACGTTAATCTAGAACCTGCCAAGGTTAATCTGGAACCTGCTTACGTTAATCTAGAACCTGCTGACATTAATATAGAAGCTGCTAAGGTTAATCTAGAACCTGTTAATGTTAAAGTAGAACCTGCTAACGTTAATCTAGAACCTGTTAATGTTTAAGTAGAACCTGCTAAGGTTAATCTAGAACCTGTTAATGTTAAAGTAGAACCTGCTACCGTCAATCTAGAGCCTGCTACCGTTAATCTAAAACATTCTAACATTAATGTAGAACCTGCTAACGTTAGTCTAGTACCTACTACCGCATTTTATTTTACACACAGCATTTAATGCGTAGCATTTTAACACGCAGCCTTGTACACAACGCATTTATCACGCAGCTTTGTGCATGCAGCACTTAACATGCAGCCTTGTGCATGCAGCATTTAACATGCAGCCTTGTGCACGCAGCACTTAACATGCAGCCTTGTGCATGCAGCACTTAACATGCAGCCTTGTGCATGCAGCATTTAACATGCAGCCTTGTGCACGCAGCATTTAACATGCAGCCTTGTGCACGCAGCACTTAACATGCAGAGTGCATGTAGCATTTTGTGCACATTTATGTGCATGGGGCTGTTTTTTTCCTCTGAGTCGGTTTATGTGAATCACAGAGGGTGGAACAGGTAGGACTGAGACACACCTGAGAGACTGATGCTTATCAGTGTCTTACATCACAGACATCCCCCCCCCCCCCCCCCCCCCCCCCCCACTGACAGGCAGGTTCTTAATGAGGCTAGCAGACTAATGCTAATCACGGTTATTAATTAGTTCCCTGTCAGTCTGAGCATCATCATCATCAGTCACTGTGGTGGGATCACTGTCAGGAGCGCTGCCTGGAAACCTATAGGACGAAGGGTTCTGTCTGATCTACATGTTGCCTAACTAGCTGCATGCAGTTAGCCTAGTTACACGCAGCTAGCCTGACTACATGCTGCTAATCTAGCTGCATGCACCTAGCCTAGATGAATGTAGCTAAACTAGCTACATGCTGCTAAACTAGCTACATGCAGTTAGCCTAGTTACATGCAGTTAGCCTAACTACATAATGCTAACTTAGCTACATGCTTCTATACTAGCTACATGCAGCTAGCCCAGCTACATGCTGCTAAACTAGCTACATGCGGTTAGCCTAGTTATATGCAGCTAGGCTAGCTTATGTTTTTGCGTTAACAGATTTCATGCTGATAGCCTAGCTAATGCTAACCTGGCTTCATGCTGCTAGCCTAGCATCCTGCTTGTCACTACCCAATCCGCACCATTAGCTCATCATAAACCTGATATACATTCGGTTGACCTCAATTTTACTTAATAAAAAAGACCTAAATGATGTTTTTCCCTCCTAAAAATACTAAGCGTACTAAAATATAAGATGTTAAAGGTTAATAATGTATTTGCTAAGTCTTTTGAGCTTCCTGCCTAGCCCTCTGCTGCTAGCCTAACTCCCTGCTGTTAGCCTTGCTTCCTGCTGCTAGCATAGCTTCCCACTGTTGGCATAACTTCTTGCTGCTAGCCTAGCATCTCGCTGCTAGCATTGCTTCCTGCTGCTACCCTAGCTTCCCGCTGCTAGCCTAGCTGCTCACTGCTAGCCTAGCTTCCTGCTGCTAGCCTAGCTTCTCACTGCTACCCTAGCTTCCCGCTGCTAGCCTAGCTTCTCACTACTAGCCTAGCCCTCTGCTGCTAGCCTAACTCCCTGCTGTTAGCCTTGCTTCCTGCTGTTAGCATAGCTTCTTGCTGCTAGCCTAGCATCTCGCTGCTAGCTTAGCTGTCTCCAAGCTACCAGCCAGCTGCTCTCCATGGTGGCGCCTGCTGTGGGTGGTGGTATGATGCTGTGGGCTCTGGGTGTGGCCATCTAGCAGCACAGAGACGAAATGCTCCCTGATCAGATCACCTTCCAGTTCAGCCATCATTTCCTTCAGAGGAACCCATATTGGGGCTCGGTGCTGTGGTTCTGTGGGTCAGAGGTTCTGTGGGTCAGAGGTTCTGTGGGTCGGAGGTTCTGTGGGTTATAGGTTCTGTGGGTCAGAGGTTCTGTGGGTCAGAGGTTCTGTGGGTCGGAGGTTCTGGTCCAGGGTTCTGATCTCTGTACCCTCAGTGCAGATGAAGCCGATCAGTAAACTGACCTGGTTCTGTAGAGAAACATCTGGAATAAAAGGAACCATTTAGAACTAGAACTGGATGATATGCTGGAACCAACAGGAGCGACTGGGACCTCCTGGGTTCTCCTCCTCAGGTTCTGGTTGATCTGCTGGACCCAACAGGAGCGACTGGGACCTCCTGGGTTCTCCTCCTCAGGTTCTGGTTGATCTGCTGGACCCAACAGGAGCGACTGGGACCTCCTGGGTTCTCCTCCTCAGGTTCTGGTTGATCTGCTGGACCCAACAGGAGCGACTGGGACCTCCTGGGTTCTCCTCCTCAGGTTCTGGTTGATCTGCTGGACCCAACAGGAGCGACTGGGACCTCCTGGTTCTCCTCCTCCTCAGGTTCTTTGGTTTGATGGTAAACAGGCTAATCAGTTTATGTCATCGATCGGTTCAGGAGGATCTTTAGTTTCCATTCATGATTACATCAATAGAATAACTTCCACCAGAGTATAGAAAACCTCACCTAGAACCAACCGTCATTAAGGTGACAGAACTGCATAGAGATAACATCATAGAAACCAGTTGATCCTGATTAACAGCGACACCAATGAAAACTGAATCTGGATCAAAACACTGGAACCAAATCAGTCTGAAGGAAAAAGAAAATCTATAGAACTGTTCTGACGGGTCAGAACCGGTCCAGTCTGGGTTTATAGCTCATCCATCTCTAATTGTTCAACCTGGTTCTGCTCTCAGAACCAGAGGAACACCGTGTGGAACCAGAACTCCCTGCCTCTGGTCCAGGACCCCTGATGGATCGGTCTGCAGAACCGGTAGGGTTCTGGTTCAGTAGCTGGTTCTGGTTCCGGTCCAGCGGTTGGTTCTGGTTCTGGTCCAGAGGTTGGTTCTGGTTCTGGTCCAGAGGTTGGTTCTGGTTCTGGTCCAGCAGCTGGTTCTGGTCCAGCAGCTGGTTCTGGTTCTGGTCCAGCAGCTGGTTCCGGTCCAGAGGTTGGTTCTGGTTCTGGTCCAGCAGCTGGTTCTGGTCCAGCATCTGGTTCTGGTTCTGGTCCAGAGGTTGGTTCTGGTTCTGGTCCAGAGGTTGGTTCTGGTTCTGGTCCAGCAGCTGGTTCTGGTCCAGCAGCTGGTTCTGGTTCTGGTCCAGCAGCTGGTTCTGGTCCAGAGGTTGGTTCTGGTCCTGGTCCAGCATCTGGTTCTGGTTCTGAGCAGCCCTCACACAGTCAGACAGGCTCCCACATGTCGGCCTCTCAGCGCCTCTGCTTGTGTAAACATCCCGTCTCCGTTGCCATGGCGTCTGGGTGTCGTGGTCACGCTCTCTGATCTCTGATTGGCTGTTTACAGATAAAAGGAGACGGGCAGGGAATGATGGACCAGTTTCTGGGTCAGGGACCGGGTCAGAGCTCTCAGTGGTTCTGAAGGGTAGAACGGGTCCAGATGGTTCTGAGGGACCGGGTTCTGATCCGCTCTTAACTACAACTGCTGCAGGAAGTACTGGTACCACAGGAAGTATTATGAACTACTGCTTTGTAGTACTATCTGTAGTTCTATTGCAGGCAGTACCGGTTCTGCTGCACCGGTTCTGACCCAAGGCCCAGTTAGTGGTTATTGTTCTGTTTGAGGTGGACCGGTCCGTCAGAACCAGAACCTCTGACAGGGCCTGCTGTCCTTCAGCTTTCCTCCTTCCTGCAGGGACCGGTTCCGACCCGGTTTAACCGGTTCCACTGAAGCCTTTACTTTGGGCCGATGGTTCCGCCCAGATCTACAGAACCAGTAGAACCTTTTGCTTTATCTATAGAATGGAGGGCAAACCGGTGGTGGCAGCATCATGCTGTGGGATGATGGGAAGGATCAAACCCATCCTGTTGGATCAGAACCAGAATGGCCCAGTCAAAGGCCAGAACCTCTAGGGTTCTGGAGAGGAACATGCTGGTTCTGGTTCTGGTTCTGGTTCTGACCCGCCTGTTTGTTCTGCAGAGGTTCTGATGAACACCAAGCTGGAGACGTCGGACCTTCGCTGGACCAACCATCCTGCAGAGGACCAGCAGGTAAGCCCCGCCCCTCTGTGCTGTAGCCAATCAGTGCTGCCGCTGCTGATGCCGCCCCTCCCTCCCCTGGCAGTGGGAGGAGCTTAGCGGTCTGGACGAGGACCAGAACTCGGTCCGGACCTTCCAGATCTGCACCACGGACAGCCCGTCCTCCTACTGGCTGAGGACGCGCTGGATCCCACGCCGCGCCGCCACCACGCTCTACGTGGAGATCCGGTAGGTGGAGCGCCTGCCGACGCTGAGCTGCGCGCCGGCAGGAAGTGATGTCACCCCTCTGTTCCGCCCCCAGGTTCACCATGATGGAGTGCGCCTCCATCAACCAGCGCCACTGCAAGGAGACCTTCAACCTGTTCTACTACGAGGCGGACGGCGACGAGGCCACGCCCACCCACCCCGCCTGGATGGAGAACCCCTACACCAAGGTGTCCACCATCGCCGCCGACCACCTGCTGCGGCGCGGCGGCCAGCGCCGCTCCAACGTCAAGCTGCTGCGGCTGGAGGGGCTGAAGGGGGCGGGGCTTTACCTGGCCTTCCAGAGCCAGGGCACCTGCATGGCGCTGCTGTCCGTCCGCGTCTTCTTCAGGAAGTGTCCCTCCGTCCGCCGCGCGTTCGCCTCCTTTCCCGAAACCGTCCCGCACGCGCTGGTGGAGCAGGTAACCACGGCAACGCGGCAGCAGAGGTGTAGGGAAGCGGCGGCGGCCCTGAGCGTTCTTCTTCTTCTGTGGTTTCAGGCTCAGGGGGTGTGCGTGGAGAACGCGGTGACGCCGCCCGGCGAGGCCTTCCAGCTTCCCAGCATGCTGTGCGGCCAGGACGGCCAGTGGGTGGGGCAGCCCCTGTCCAGCTGCGCCTGTCGCCCCGGATACGAGGCCGGAGACGGCGACGTGCGCTGCAGAGGTGAGAGCTCCAACCCGGGTCGGTTCTGGTTCTGGTAGAACCCATCCTGAGTTCTGATCCGTTTGGAGGCTTCGGTTCTGTGGTGGTTCTGGTCCTGGTTTGGTCCGGTCCAAACTTTATTACCCTGGTTCAGGTGTCCATCCTGCTCTATGGTTCTGATCGGTTCTGTTGGGGCCCGGTTGGTACCGGAGGAGCTGTTTCTGGTCCAGATGCTGCAGGAAGCCAGAACCAGCAGAGAGGAGCAAAGCCTCCATCCGGACCCGTCAGAACCATCAGAACGGGCCTGATGGTTCCAGAGGATGAGGCCACAGACGGCTCGGTTCCTGTTATTCTATCAGAGGTCAGAGGTCGGCCCGCTGCCAGCAGGAAGCGGGTCTGTGGCCGGCGGGCGGCAGGGAGGGTCAGAGGTCAAAGACAGACGGAGGTTCTGCTGGGATGCTGATGACATCATGGCAGCACTTTCCACATCCTGTCCAATCCAAGGCCACTTCCTGTCTCTGCCACATGGAGCCCCTCCCTCCTCTGTGTGACTGGGAGCAGAACCAGTAAGCCCAGTTAGAGACGGAGGATCCCTGCAGACCACCAGTGGTCAGCTGTGGGTCTGCAGGTCTGCTCCACATGACCTCTGCGTGACCTCTGCATGACCTCTGCCTGACCTCTGCGTGACCTCTGCGTGACCTCTGCGTGACCTCTGCGTGACCTCTGCAATACAGATCTGACCCAAGGCTGCAGTAGGAAGGGTTGCAGGTTTAATTCCAGCTTTCACACCCTCTGCTTTCACAGGTTAAGCTTCCAAACCTCAGGTTAGCTATAATCAAAGGTTAGCTTAACGCCATGTTAGCTCTTAAACCAGACTTTAACTAGCCTCCATGTTTGGTCTCAAACCCAGCTTAGCTAAACTCTGTGTTCTCAGAAACATTAGAAACATTGGGATTTAGCTAAACTGGTGTTTTGCTAAATCAGCTCCTGAACCACAGGTTGGCTAAAGCTCAGGTTGGTTTTAAATCTACACTTTACCTAAACCTAAGATTTTCTGATCTACACTAAAACGCTATTTTAGTTCGGAATTGTTAGATTAGCTAAAATCAAAGTTATTTAAACCCAGTTTATATCTTAAACTAGAGTTTAGCTCCTAAATCTCATGTTAGCTAAACCCTGTTTTAGTTCATAAATTGCAAATTAGCTAAACAAAAGCTTAGCGAAACCAGACACTCGCTACAAAACCACAGGTTAACTAAACCCCAGATTAGCTCCAAAACTCCAGGTTAGCTAAACCCCAGATTAGCTCCAAAACTCCAGTTTAACCAAACCCCAGATTAGCTCCAAAACTCCAGGTTAGCCAAACCCCAGATTAGCTCCAAAACTCCAGGTTAGCCAAACCCCAGATTAGCTCCAAAACTCCAGGTTAACCAAACCCCAGATTAGGAGAAAAGCATTGAACAGTCCAGTTCAATAAATGGAGATCAATGGATTTTGCTCAGTCAGAATTTTATTTTGCTTTCCAAAGTGAAAGAAGAGAACATAGAACCCTGACAGCTGTGATGATCAGCTCTGTTCTAACTAGTCTGGGTTTATCTCTGACTAATAAACCCTGCAGGAAGGCTGGCAGGCTCTGCACGTCTCTACCCAGAATAAAGACAGACATTAAAACACTCAGCTGAGAACACAGACAGGGACGCCGTCCAGCAGAACCTGTGGTTAGTGTTCTGGTTGGAGGTGGACCGCTCCATCAGTGGATTACACCAACAGAACCAGCCTCCTCACCCAGTGGGTGGGGTGGGGTGGAGGGTTCAGTAGACTGGTTTGGTACCAGTGATCCCAGCAGAAGCTCAGGGGCCTCCTCACCCAGCAGGTGAGGTGGGGTGGAGGGAGAAGGTTCCGGTGTCCGGGTTCTAACCCTGTCTTTACTCTGCAGCCTGTCCATCGGGTCACTTCAAGGTGGGACCAGGAAGTGGAGGCTGCACTCCCTGTCCAGACCACAGCAACACTAGGATCCCAGGCTCCGCCTACTGCCCCTGTCTCCCGGGATACGACCGGGCCGACTCGGACCCGCCACATGCAGCCTGCACCCGTAAGACACTGTTGCTGGTTCCAACGCCAGGTCAGGTTCTGACATTCTCCTTGCTTCTGCAGCTGGTCCTGATAGTTCAAAGGCCCCATTTCCCATCATGCACCAGTCAGGCCTCATTTCCCATCATGCACCAGTCAGGCCTCATTTCCCATCATGCAACAGTCAGGCCTCATTTCCCATCATGCACCAGGCTCAGGCCTCATTTCCCATCATGCACCAGTCAGGCCTCATTTCCCATCATGCACCAGTCAGGCCTCATTTCCCATCATGCAACAGTCAGGACTCATTTCCCATCATGCACCAGTCAGGCCTCATTTCCCATCATGCACCAGTCAGGCCTCATTTCCCATCATGCAACAGTCAGGACTCATTTCCCATCATGCACCGGTCAGGCCTCATTTCCCATCATGCACCAGTCAGGACTCATTTCCCATCATGCACCAGTCAGGCCTCATTTCCCATCATGCAACAGTCAGGACTCATTTCCCATCATGCACCGGTCAGGCCTCATTTCCCATCATGCACCAGTCAGGACTCATTTCCCATCATGCACCAGTCAGGCCTCATTTCCCATCATGCAACAGTCAGGCCTCATTTCCCATCATGCAACAGTCAGGCCTCATTTCCCATCATGCACCAGTCAGGACTCATTTCCCATCATGCAACAGTCAGGACTCATTTCCCATCATGCAACAGTCAGGCCTCATTTCCCATCATGCACCAGTCAGGACTCATTTCCCATCATGCACCGGTCAGGACTCATTTCCCATCATGCACCGGTCAGGCCTCATTTCCCATCATGCACCAGTCAGGACTCATTTCCCATCATGCACCAGTCAGGCCTCATTTCCCATCATGCACCAGTCAGGACTCATTTCCCATCATGCACCAGTCAGGCCTCATTTCCCATCATGCAACAGTCAGGCCTCATTTCCCATCATGCACCAGTCAGGCCTCATTTCCCATCATGCACCAGTCAGGCCTCATTTCCCATCATGCACCAGTCAGGACTCATTTCCCATCATGCACCAGTCAGGCCTCATTTCCCATCATGCACCAGTCAGGACTCATTTCCCATCATGCACCAGTCAGGACTCATTTCCCATCATGCAACAGTCAGGCCTCATTTCCCATCATGCACCAGTCAGGCCTCATTTCCCATCATGCAACAGTCAGGCCTCATTTCCCATCATGCACCAGTCAGGACTCATTTCCCATCATGCACCAGTCAGGCCTCATTTCCCATCATGCACCAGTCAGGACTCATTTCCCATCATGCACCAGTCAGGACTCATTTCCCATCATGCACCAGTCAGGACTCATTTCCCATCATGCAACAGTCAGGCCTCATTTCCCATCATGCACCAGTCAGGACTCATTTCCCATCGTGCACCAGTCAGGCCTCATTTCCCATCATGCACCAGTCAGGCCTCATTTCCCATCATGCACCAGTCAGGCCTCATTTCCCATCATGCACCAGTCAGGCCTCATTTCCCATCATGCACCAGTCAGGACTCATTTCCCATCATGCACCAGTCAGGACTCATTTCCCATCATGCACCAGGCTCAGGCCTCATTTCCCATCATGCACCAGTCAGGACTCATTTCCCATCATGCACCAGTCAGGCCTCATTTCCCATCATGCACCAGTCAGGACTCATTTCCCATCATGCACCAGTCAGGCCTCATTTCCCATCATGCAACAGTCAGGCCTCATTTCCCATCATGCACCAGTCAGGACTCATTTCCCATCATGCACCAGTCAGGCCTCATTTCCCATCATGCACCAGTCAGGACTCATTTCCCATCATGCACCAGTCAGGCCTCATTTCCCATCATGCACCAGTCAGGACTCATTTCCCATCATGCACCAGTCAGGACTCATTTCCCATCATGCAACAGTCAGGCCTCATTTTCCATCATGCACCACTCAGGACTCATTTCCCATCATGCAACAGTCAGGCCTCATTTCCCATCATGCACCAGTCAGGACTCATTTCCCATCATGCACCAGTCAGGCCTCATTTCCCATCATGCACCAGTCAGGACTCATTTCCCATCATGCACCAGGCTCAGGACTCATTTCCCATCATGCACCAGTCAGGACTCATTTCCCATCATGCAACAGTCAGGACTCATTTCCCATCATGCACCAGTCAGGACTCATTTCCCATCATGCACCAGTCAGGCCTCATTTCCCATCATGCACCAGTCAGGCCTCATTTCCCATCATGCACCAGTCAGGACTCATTTCCCATCATGCACCAGTCAGGACTCATTTCCCATCATGCACCAGTCAGGCCTCATTTCCCATCATGCACCAGTCAGGACTCATTTCCCATCATGCACCAGGCTCAGGCCTCATTTCCCATCATGCACCAGTCAGGACTCATTTCCCATCATGCACCAGTCAGGCCTCATTTCCCATCATGCACCAGTCAGGACTCATTTCCCATCATGCACCAGTCAGGACTCATTTCCCATCATGCACCAGTCAGGACTCATTTCCCATCATGCACCAGGCTCAGGCCTCATTTCCCATCATGCACCAGGCTCTGCCCCGCCCATCTAACTGCTGCCCCGCCCCTATAACTGCTGTGCTGCCCCTTTAACCTCTGCCCCCCCCTTAAAGCGGAACGCCGTTTTTTTTTTTCCATAGGTCCTTGATTTTCCGTTATTCCATCATGTTCTTCTCTCCCATCTGAGTTTAGTGTCATTTGGAGCCGTTCTGAAGATATTCCTTTAGGTTATATCCAGTAACGTCTTCCTATGGGCAACGACTTGAAGGCACAAACTAAACTGTTCATCATTTATTCTTTATGGTACGCCAGCATTCAGAACATGGAGGCTAGAATGAACAGAAGGGGTAGAGCGTCGCCGCCTGGTGTGATGTACATTGGTTAAATAAAGTTTTTTTTTAAGCCCGGGCCACAGGCGGCTACGCTCTACCCCTTCTATTCATATGGGTGAGTAGAACATGATGGAATAACGTGAAATCAAGGACCCAATGTAAAAAAAAAAACAGCCTTCCCTTTTAAAGGCGTTGCCCCGCCCCTTTAAAAGCATTGCCCCGCCCCTTTAAAAGCGTTGTCCCGCCCCTTTAAAAGCGTTGTCCCGCCCCCTTTAAACGCGTTGCCCCGCCCCTTTAAAAGCATTGCCCCGCCCCTTTAAAAGCGTTGTCCCGCCCCTTTAAAAGCGTTGTCCCGCCCCTTTAAAAGCATTGCCCCGCCCCTTTAAAAGCGTTGCCCCGCTCCTTTAAAAGCGTTGCCCCGCCCCTTTAAAAGCGTTGCCCCGCCCCTTTAAAAGCGTTGCCCCCGGCAGCATCCATTAGTCTTGGTGAGCAGGCTCATTAGTGCACGGCGTGTTTCAGCAGACCGCCATCTGTCTGCAGACACAGGGCGCTGCCTGACAGTCCACGCTCAGCTGATGTTAAACAGGCCCTGACCTCTGACCCCTGACCCCACAGGCCCCCCCTCAGCCCCCCGCCACCCGGTCTACCAGCTCAACGACACCACAGTGACCCTGGAGTGGATGGAGCCCGTGGAGCGAGGAGGACGGGCGGACCTGAGCTACCGGCTGCTTTGCTCTGACTGCGGAGCCGCCGGCGCCGCTAAGGTAGGCCCGCTGGACCGGAACCGCCGCGCTGAGCGTCCTGCAGGCTGATTGACACGCTGCTCCCTCTGGTCTCCTCCTCAGCCATCCTGCTCCCCCTGCGGGGACAGCATCCTGTTCCGCCCCGCCCAGTCCGGCCTCACACAGACCCGGGTCCTGATCTTTGGACTCCGCCCACAAACCAGGTACCTGTTCACCATCCAGGCACTGAACGCCGTGTCTGCCTTCAGCCAATCAGAGCCCGCGTCCATCATGATCAACATGACCACCAGCAGAGACGGTAACGCCTCATTACCCACGATGCCCGCTCAGAGAGACGGATGCCGACCGCTGATTGGCTGCTGCTGTCTGTAGTCCCGCCCCCTGTCTCAGGTGTCCAGAGGACGGCGGCGTCAGAGGACAGCCTGTCCATGAGGTGGGACCCTCCGGTGGTCCAGAACGGACAGCAGGTCCAGGAGTACCAGCTGCGTTACAGACGGGCCGACGGCAGAGACGCTCCCTGGGAGTACCTGCGCAGCGGCGCCCCCTCTCTGGTTCTGACGGATCTGCAGCGGGCTACCCGGTACCAGGTCCAGGTCAGGGCCCAGTCCCAGGCGGGCTACGGGTCCTTCAGCGCCGTCAGCAGCTTCAGCACGCTGCCCGATGGTACCGCCCCCCTCTGACCCGCAGGACGCCGCCACCCCTCGCCGCTCTCCGTTTAAACGCTTCTGTTCTGTTCAGGTGCGGCCCACGCCCAGCTGGTGGTCACTGCCGTCCTCGTCTCCGTGGCGATGGTGATGCTGATCGCCGCGGTAACAGCCGGATTCATCTGCTACCGGTAAGAGAGAGAGAGGATGGTCCCTCCCTGCTGGCGCCCGAGAACAATGGAGGTCATGACCCCCAGAGAGGGGGCGGGGGACAGAGAGACAGAGCCGTCCTGATAGAGACAGAAATAGACAGTCAGGGTGGGACGTCTCCCTGCAGGAAGCAGAAACTGGACCCTTTGTCTCTCAGGTCCTCTGTCTGTCTCTCTGTCTCCTGTTGTCCTCCTCCTGTTCAGCTCCTTCCTGTCCCTCCATCTGTACCTCTGTCTGTGTCTCTCCATCTTTCTCTCTGTCTCTGTCTGTCCCTCTCTCTCTGTCTCTGTCTGTCCCACTGTCTGTCTCTCTCCATCTCTCTCTCTGTCTGTCCCTCTGTCTCCTGTTGTCCTCCTCCTGTTCAGCTCCTTCCTGTCCCTCTCTCTCTGTCTGTCCCTCTCTCTCTGTCTCTGTCTGTCCCTCTGTCTGTCTCTCTCCGTCTCTCTCTCAGTCTGTCCCTCTGTCTCCTGTTGTCCTCCAGCCACTCAGCTCCGTCCTGTCTCTCTGTCTGTCCCTCAGGAAGAGGCGGCGTCCAGCGCGGACGGAGCAGATGGGACACTACCAGATGGGACAGAGTGAGTGTCTCAGCCAATCAGAGCTGGTCATTGTTTGAGCGTTTTGGTGGTCAGCTGATTGACTCCTGCTGCTGTCGTCATAGCGATGAAGGTCTACATCGACCCGTTTACCTACGAGGATCCCAACCAGGCGGTCCGAGAGTTCGCCAAGGAGATAGACGCCTCCTTCGTGAAGATCGAGGAGGTGATCGGAGCAGGTGGGTCATCTGGAAGGTTCTCTAAGACCCGCCTTCAGGAGGAACGTAGAGCTAGAACCACTAGAAATCAATCAGGGACAGAACCTGTTTATACTGATCTATGGGGATGGAGGGATCTGTGTGCTCAGGTTCTGCTCAGGTTCTGCCCAGGTTCTGCCCAGGTTCTGTTGAGGTTCTGCCCAGGTTCTGTTCAGGCTCTGCTCAGGTTCTGCTCAGGTTCTGTTCAGGTTCTGCCCAGGTTCTGTTCAGGCTCTGCTCAGGTTCTGCTCAGGCTCTGCTCAGGTTCTGCTCAGGTTCTGCCCAGGTTCTGTTCAGGTTCTGCTCAGGTTCTGCTCAGGTTCTGTTCAGGCTCTGCTCAGGTTCTGTTCAGGTTCTGCTCAGGTTCTGTTCAGGTTCTGTTCAGGTTCTGTTCAGGCTCTGCTCAGGTTCTGCTCAGGTTCTGTTTAGGTTCTGTTCAGGCTCTGCTCAGGTTCTGTTCAGGTTCTGTTCAGGTTCTGCTCAGGTTCTGCTCAGGTTCTGTTCAGGTTCTGCCCAGGTTCTGTTCAGGCTCTGCTCAGGTTCTGCTCAGGCTCTGCTCAGGTTCTGCTCAGGTTCTGTTCAGGTTCTGCTCAGGTTCTGCTCAGGCTCTGCTCAGGTTCTGCTCAGGTTATGTTCAGGCTCTGCTCAGGTTCTGCCCAGGTTCTGTTCAGGTTCTGCTCAGGCTCTGCTCAGGTTCTGTTCAGGTTCTGCCCAGGTTCTGCTCAGGTTCTGTTTAGGTTATGTTCAGGCTCTGCTCAGGCTCTGCTCAGGTTCTGCCCAGGTTCTGCTCAGGTTCTGTTTAGGTTATGTTCAGGCTCTGCTCAGGTTCTGCCCAGGTTCTGTTCAGGTTCTGCTCAGGCTCTGCTCAGGTTCTGTTCAGGTTCTGCCCAGGTTCTGCTCAGGTTCTGTTTAGGTTATGTTCAGGCTCTGCTCAGGTTCTGCCCAGGTTCTGTTCAGGTTCTGCTCAGGTTCTGTTCAGGTTCTGTTCAGGTTCTGCCCAGGTTCTGCCCAGGTTCTGTTCAGGTTCTGTTCAGATTCGGTTCAGGTTCTGCTTAGGTTCTGTTCAGGTTCTGTTCAGGTTCTGCTTAGGTTCTGTTCAGGTTCTGTTCAGGTTCTGCTCAGGTTCTGTTCAGGTTCTGTTCAGGTTCTGCCCAGGTTCTGCCCAGGTTCTGTTCAGGTTCTGTTCAGATTCGGTTCAGGTTCTGCTTAGGTTCTATTTAGGTTCTGCTCAGGTTCTGTTCAGGTTCTGTTCAGGTTCTGTTCAGGTTCTGCTCAGGTTCTATTTAGGTTCTGTTCAGGTTCTGTTCAGGTTCTGCTCAGGTTCTATTTAGGTTCTGTTCAGGTTCTGTTCAGGTTCTGTTCAGATTCGGTTCAGGTTCTGCTTAGGTTCTATTTAGGTTCTGCTCAGGTTCTGCTCAGGTTCTGTTCAGGTTCTGCTCAGGTTCTGTTCAGGTTCTGTTCAGATTCGGTTCAGGTTCTGCTTAGGTTCTATTTAGGTTCTGCTCAGGTTCTGCTCAGGTTCTGTTCAGGTTCTGTTCAGGTTCTGTTCAGGTTCTGCCCAGGTTCTATTTAGGTTCTGCTCAGGTTCTGTTCAGGTTCTGCTCAGGTTCTGTTCAGGTTCTGTTCAGATTCGGTTCAGGTTCTGCTTAGGTTCTATTTAGGTTCTGCTCAGGTTCTGTTCAGGTTCTGCTCAGGTTCTGTTCAGGTTCTGTTCAGATTCGGTTCAGGTTCTGTTCAGGTTCTGCCCAGGTTCTGTTCAGGTTCTGCTCAGGTTCTGCCCAGGTTCTGCTCAGGTTCTGCTCAGGTTCTGCTCAGGTTCTGTTCAGGTTCTGCTCAGGTTCTGTTCAGGTTCTGCTTAGGTTCTATTTAGGTTCTGCTCAGGTTCTGTTCAGGTTCTGCTCAGGTTCTGCCCAGGTTCTATTTAGGTTCTGCTCAGGTTCTGTTCAGGTTCTGCTCAGGTTCTGTTCAGGTTCTGTTCAGGCTCTGTTCAGGTTCTGCTCAGGTTCTATTTAGGTTCTGTTCAGGTTCTGTTCAGGTTCTGCTCAGGTTCTGCTCAGGTTCTGTTCAGGTTCTGTTCAGGTTCTGCTCAGGTTCTGTTCAGGTTCTGTTCAGGTTCTGCTCAGGTTCTGCTCAGGTTCTGTTCAGGTTCTGCTCAGGTTCTGTTCAGGTTCTGTTCAGATTCGGTTCAGGTTCTGCTCAGGTTCTGTTCAGGTTCTGCTCAGGTTCTATTTAGGTTCTGTTCAGGTTCTGTTCAGGTTCTGTTCAGGTTCTGTTCAGGTTCTGCCCAGGTTCTATTTAGGTTCTGCTCAGCTTCTGTTCAGGTTCTGCTCAGGTTCTGTTCAGGTTCTGTTCAGATTCGGTTCAGGTTCTGCTTAGGTTCTATTTAGGTTCTGCTCAGGTTCTGCTCAGGTTCTGTTCAGGTTCTGTTCAGGTTCTGCTCAGGTTCTGTTCAGGTTCTGCTCAGGTTCTGTTCAGGTTCTGCTCAGATTCGGTTCAGGTTCTGCTCAGGTTCTGTTCAGGTTCTGCTCAGGTTCTGTTCAGGTTCTGTTCAGGTTCTGCCCAGGTTCTATTTAGGTTCTGCTCAGGTTCTGTTCAGGTTCTGTTCAGGTTCTGCTCAGGTTCTGTTCAGGTTCTGCTCAGGTTCTGTTCAGGTTCTGTTCAGGTTCTGCCCAGGTTCTATTTAGGTTCTGCTCAGGTTCTGTTCAGGTTCTGCCCAGGTTCTGTTCAGGTTCTGCTCAGGTTCTGCCCAGGTTCTATTTAGGTTCTGCTCAGGTTCTGTTCAGGTTCTGTTCAGGTTCTGCTCAGGTTCTGTTCAGGTTCTGCTCAGGTTCTGTTCAGGTTCTGTTCAGGTTCTGCCCAGGTTCTATTTAGGTTCTGCTCAGGTTCTGTTCAGGTTCTGCCCAGGTTCTGTTCAGGTTCTGCTCAGGTTCTGCCCAGGTTCTGCTCAGGTTCTGCTCAGGTTCTGCTCAGGTTCTGTTCAGGTTCTGCTCAGGTTCTGTTCAGGTTCTGTTCAGGTTCTGCTTAGGTTCTATTTAGGTTCTGCTCAGGTTCTGTTCAGGTTCTGCTCAGGTTCTGCTCAGGTTCTGTTCAGGTTCTGCTCAGGTTCTGTTCAGGTTCTGCCCAGGTTCTATTTAGGTTCTGCTCAGGTTCTGTTCAGGTTCTGCTCAGGTTCTGTTCAGGTTCTGTTCAGATTCGGTTCAGGTTCTGCTTAGGTTCTATTTAGGTTCTGCTCAGGTTCTGTTCAGGTTCTGCTCAGGTTCTGCTCAGGTTCTGTTCAGGTTCTGTTCAGGTTCTGCTCAGGTTCTGCTCAGGTTCTATTTAGGTTCTGTTCAGGTTCTGTTCAGGTTCTGCTCAGGTTCTGTTCAGGTTCTGTTCAGATTCGGTTCAGGTTCTGCTTAGGTTCTATTTAGGTTCTGCTCAGGTTCTGTTCAGGTTCTGCTCAGGTTCTGCTCAGGTTCTGTTCAGGTTCTGTTCAGGTTCTGCTCAGGTTCTGTTCAGGTTCTGCTCAGGTTCTGTTCAGGTTCTGTTCAGGTTCTGCCCAGGTTCTGTTCAGGTTCTGCTCAGGTTCTGCTCAGGTTCTGCTCAGGTTCTGTTCAGGTTCTGCTCAGGTTCTGTTCAGGTTCTGTTCAGGTTCTGCTTAGGTTCTATTTAGGTTCTGCTCAGGTTCTGTTCAGGTTCTGCTCAGGTTCTGCTCAGGTTCTGTTCAGGTTCTGCCCAGGTTCTATTTAGGTTCTGCTCAGGTTCTGTTCAGGTTCTGTTCAGGTTCTGCTCAGGTTCTGTTCAGGTTCTGCTCAGGTTCTGTTCAGGTTCTGTTCAGGTTCTGCCCAGGTTCTATTTAGGTTCTGCTCAGGTTCTGTTCAGGTTCTGCCCAGGTTCTGTTCAGGTTCTGCTCAGGTTCTGCCCAGGTTCTGCTCAGGTTCTGCTCAGGTTCTGCTCAGGTTCTGCTCAGGTTCTGTTCAGGTTCTGCTTAGGTTCTATTTAGGTTCTGCTCAGGTTCTGTTCAGGTTCTGCTCAGGTTCTGTTCAGGTTCTGTTCAGGTTCTGTTCAGGTTCTGCCCAGGTTCTATTTAGGTTCTGCTCAGGTTCTGTTCAGGTTCTGCTCAGGTTCTGTTCAGGTTCTGTTCAGATTCGGTTCAGGTTCTGCTTAGGTTCTATTTAGGTTCTGCTCAGGTTCTGTTCAGGTTCTGCTCAGGTTCTGCTCAGGTTCTGTTCAGGTTCTGCTCAGGTTCTGTTCAGGTTCTGTTCAGATTCGGTTCAGGTTCTGTTCAGGTTCTGCCCAGGTTCTGTTCAGGTTCTGCTCAGGTTCTGCCCAGGTTCTGCTCAGGTTCTGCTCAGGTTCTGCTCAGGTTCTGTTCAGGTTCTGCTCAGGTTCTGTTCAGGTTCTGCTTAGGTTCTATTTAGGTTCTGCTCAGGTTCTGTTCAGGTTCTGCTCAGGTTCTGCCCAGGTTCTATTTAGGTTCTGCTCAGGTTCTGTTCAGGTTCTGCTCAGGTTCTGTTCAGGTTCTGTTCAGATTCGGTTCAGGTTCTGCTTAGGTTCTATTTAGGTTCTGCTCAGGTTCTGTTCAGGTTCTGCTCAGGTTCTGCTCAGGTTCTGTTCAGGTTCTGTTCAGGTTCTGCTCAGGTTCTGTTCAGGTTCTGTTCAGGTTCTGCTCAGGTTCTGCTCAGGTTCTGTTCAGGTTCTGCTCAGGTTCTGTTCAGGTTCTGTTCAGGTTCTGTTCAGGTTCTGCTCAGGTTCTGTTCAGGTTCTGCCCAGGTTCTATTTAGGTTCTGCTCAGGTTCTGTTCAGGTTCTGTTCAGGTTCTGTTCAGGTTCTGCCCAGGTTCTATTTAGGTTCTGCTCAGCTTCTGTTCAGGTTCTGCTCAGGTTCTGTTCAGGTTCTGTTCAGATTCGGTTCAGGTTCTGCTTAGGTTCTATTTAGGTTCTGCTCAGGTTCTGCTCAGGTTCTGTTCAGGTTCTGTTCAGGTTCTGCTCAGGTTCTGTTCA